AAATATCAGTTGCTTGTAGGGTTCAGGGGATCTCGTAGTCGAGCAGTCTCGACTTGAGCTTTCTTACTTGTTTTTCATCTCTTTTTTTCTTTCGGGGGCTTTCTTTTTGGGCCCATGGTTTCATGCGTTTTTTGTTGCAGCTGTAGGGCCGGATGAAGCTGATGACGTTGATTGCACTGAAGCTTGCTAGCTGCAATTTATGAGCACACAGACAACAGGCTGCAGGGCTGCACACAGCGCGACAGGGAGGGGGGGCGAGGCGGTCGAGTGGTTTTGGATGGAGGCGTGGCAACAGACGGTTGGAAGATGTGGGATACGTCCGTTAAGGAAGCTAACGATATGTAACAGCGGTGCTGATGTTTCTGCTGTGCCAGCAGTAAAATTCATACAATGTCGTAAAATTAAAACACTTGTGTTGTCGCACCAGCAAGAGCCAGAGGGAGAGAGCGAGAGAGAGAGAGAGAGAGGGAGAGAGAGAGAGAGAGAGGGAGAGAGAGAGAGGGAGAGATAGAGGTACAACTACAAAGTTAGTCATGCAGCTTTTGGCAAGGCAAATCGCTTTTGGCCCGTGTTCCTGCCGGGCTGCCAGCTTGGCCGTCTGCCCTAGAGCAGTCCTACACACACACACACTCTCGCTCTCTATGTGTGTGTATTTGTCTGAGCTGCACTTTACACAGGTTGGGCAAATACATGCCAGAGGTCTGGGTCTGGGTCTGGGTCTGGGTCTGGGCCTGGCTCGCTGCGGGCGAGCTGCTAACAATTTGCAGCAAAAGAGAAAAAACCAAGAACAAACAAAAGCCGTCAAGTTGAGTGCGCTGCAAGAAAGTAACAGCATGACGTCCAGCCAGAGCTCGCGACTCCAAACTCCAACTCCAACCCTATCCACAGTCTCGCTCATCAGAGATGACGCACAGAATTGCAGCGATACGAGCAGCAGCGGCCGCCATTGCCAGCATTGCGCTGCCTCAGTTGACTCCGGCGCTAATCACTGCCAATGAGGCAGCTACTTAAGCTAATAAACTGCCCACTGGCTCGACTCTGCAATGTCATCATCAATGAGACATCTATATATATATATATGTGTATAAGTGTACATATATATATTTGTGTATATTTGTAATTTGGTGTATTTGCTGGAAACACGCCCAGTGCTGATAGCGCGGCATGAATCAAAAACAAAACACACCCAGCGCCGACAAATGAGAAATACAAAGGCGAGCTGGCGGGAACTCGATTCGAAATGCTCCCCACCTACAATCCCTGGCTGATCAGGCCAAGGCGACCTCAACAAATGGAACCACACACGCATACTAACGATGTGACACGGCATTTTAACGGCCGGCACACAGCGCTGCACAGATTAGGAATGTCAATATTAGCCACGACGACGACCGCAGAGCAGGCCTGCCATGGGGGCCGACTGGGGTGAAAGGTGGACTCGATGTGTGTGTGTGTGTGTCTATCTAGTAAAAGGTTTGGGCACCCTCGCCCCACCCTCCCCGCACACGGTCAAATTTTGACAAATGACGTCAGACATGGGGCGTTGAGCTAGTGAAACCAAGCTGAAGTGGGCGTGGTCATGGGACATGTTACAAGAAACGGAGCCATCCAATCGCCCAATGTGGTCAACCATCCAAAACTAACTGCGCGCAATTGGCCTGCAGCCTGATTAGGAAAAGGTGTTGCTTACAGCAGGATAATGGACTGCCAGGACGGCAGCAGGACACGAAATGCTCAACTTTGGCTAAATGCTAGCAATCTAGAAGGCAAATTAAGCAGCAGAGCGAGCGAGGGAGAGAGAGAGAGAGACAAGTTGAATTCGTTTGAGCTCTGCCAAAGTTGTGCTTAGAATTTGAGTTATAGTTCTGTAGGGAGATATTAGAGCGAAAATTAGTTAAGTTATGGCAAATCGATTGAGAAAATCTGTTTGGTATAGCAGGAGAAGCTGAGGAACTGGTGTAGTAGAAGTTAAAGCAAGCATGATATAAGTTTCCATATGAAGCGAGAGCTAAGGCATTGGGATAAGGTTAAGTGTAAGAGGAGGGAGAGATAGATAGAGAGAGAGTGAAAGAGAGAGAGAGAAGGAGAGACAGAGACATAGAGGGATATGTAGAGAGATCGACACTGAAAGAATGCAAGATTTGAGAGTTCTAGCTACTGGATTATCGCCTAGGCTTTATATTCGTAACTTCCCTGCTGAACTGTTCCCTTAGCCTCTACAGGCACAGTTTCCCGCTGAAACATTCCCTTAGCCTCTACAGGCACAGTTTCCCCGCTGAAATATTCCTCCAGCCTCTACAGACCCAGTTTTCGTTTAGGTCTGACTTCTATAACCAATTTAGGACGTTTCAAGCTCAACCCAGCTAGCATATTTAATGATATGTATATGCGCTTAAATAACAACACGAGTGAAAGTCAGACAGCATGGGAGATGCTCCACCCCCAGTTCACTAACCAGCGCTATAACATGGGTTTAACGGCATAAATTTAAGTAACTGCGTAACTGCGCCTGCAATACTCGAGATTTGAATACGTATGTAGAGCTCACTATGATTTGCAACCCCTTAAGCTGCTTTTAATGGCCTGACAGGTGAGGGTTGTCGAAGGGTCGGTGGGTCGGTGGGTCGCTGTGGAAATGCCCATCAGTGCTGACAATCAAGCCAGCATTGCCTTCATCTCCGATGTGAGGGGGCGGGCGGGCGCAGTGTTGTAAAAGGGCAAAATCAATTTAACACTTTCAACTAAATTATTCATTTTGCATAATAATTTTCAAATCTGTCAAAATTCACACAAACACACTGACACACACACTGACACACACGCACACTTCTACATTGAAAGCAGGCTTTTATTTGATACATTCAGCGGTTGTCGGCGTCTGCACTTTCACACGCTTAGGATCGCGATAGGGATGCTGACTGATGGGAGCTAGAAGTGAGGGGGAGGGAGGGCTGCACAGAGACTGTTGGAGCAACGAGGGGTGCCGCCTGCAAAAAGCACTCAAATAATTCCCAGGCGTAAGCTAAACCAGCGCAAAAGTTGCCACGCTGCGCACAACAATAGCAGCAGCGCAGCGTACTGAAGATGGAGGGGCGGGGGTGGGGGCGGTGCGGCTGGTGGCACTGAGTGGAACTGAGACTAAAAAGTAAAACCCTTTAACCGAGCGTAGGCAACGGCGCGACGCCACGCGAAGCGTCACAAATTCTGTTAAGCGAAAATTTCATCAACGGTACGAGAGAAATTTTCATTTGCCATTCCCCATTCGCCATTCGCCATTGAAACGCTCCGACCGTTTCGCCCGACCGTTTCGCCCGCCCGTTCCACCCGCCCGTCCGGTTCCGTCCGTGCGTCCGTGCGTCCTTTTGCGTTGTCAAAATGAAAGGAAAATGTCTCATAAATCCTTTTAATATTAAATGAGCTCGT